TCTAAAAATCGGAGAAAGTGCCTTGCGTAGTTTGTGGACGGCCCCTTAGGTATAAACATAGCGAATCCAAAATACTATTTGGGGCAAAATGAAAAATCTGTTTCAGCTGAAGTCGACGATTTAGCGCCGAAATTTCGTTGGTTTTTGCATATCTTTAACCGTGGAGGCAGTTATGGCACATTGCCCGAGAGTTACGGCTGTTACGTAGTGTCGGTGCGAGTGTTGCGCGGGTAATGCGTCCCGGCCGGCGCGCCCCACCGTCGCGACTCTTTTAGTACTTTAGCGACGGAACGGGTGAATTCGGGATTTTTCGTTCACAAGTGATTACCAAAAACAGACGTATTGTTAACCCTCCATTTGACCATTTTGATACCATTCATTTAAAGCGATGGATCAAAACGTGTTCCAGGCCATCATACCTCATAAGTAAGTATTTTGTTTTTTGCGTGAAAAATTTTGGGGTGTTCAGCATATTGCATAGACATCAAGAAGGAAATTGAGCCCTTTTGATATAATTTACTTTTAAATGATAAATCCAAACGGTCCTATCATCATAAGTATGCGATGTCTCATGTTTTATTTTTTTTTTTTAAATTAATATGTTTTATTAGGTAGACACCCAGTGAGTTTTTCTGGATTGGGCCGAAATTTTGTACAAACATTTACCTAATTTATATTTTTTTGGGAGGGAGGGGATTGCGAAGTATGTCTCCGAATTATCAAAAGGAGCGTTAACAACTCGTTTTTCTAGGTAATCACTTGTGAACGAAAAATCCCGAATTCATCCGTTCTGGAGTTAAAGTACGAAAAGAGTCGCGGTGGCGGGGCGCGCCGGCCGGGACTCCCCACGCAACAGGCGCACCAACACTGCGTAATAGCCGTAACCCTCGGGCAATGTGCCGTTACTACCTCCACGGTTAGAGATACGCAAAAACTGACGAAATTTTCGGCTTCTGCGCTAAATGGCCAATTTCAGCTGAAATAGACCATTCATTTGCCCGTAAAATCGAATTTTGGATTTACCATGTTTAGGCCTAATGCACTTACGAAAAACGTCAAAATTCGAAAAAAGGTCCCTCTTGTTTTTGTGTTTGTAACCTTATGGAGCACCTATTTTCGCTTGCCCGTTTCGACCCGACAACTTTTTTAAAAAACGCTCCACCCTACTGTGACGTGACAATCATAGCGTTTATCCGACTCCTATCCGATTAGGTACCCATAAAACTAGCTATACGGCATCCTTTTGTTGCGTTGAAGGCGGGAGGCCCAGGAGTATTCGTCTAAGGGTATTCGGATGAATTCAGCCCGGTGTTTGTTTGTTTGTTCGTTTGTTCGTTTGTTCGTTTGTTCGTTTGTCCGTTTGTTCGTTTGTCCGTTTGTTCGTTTGTCCGTTTGTTCGTTAAGTTCGTTTGTTCGTTTGTTCGTTTGTTCGTTTGTTCGTTTGTTCGTTTGTTCGTTTGTTCGTTTGTTCGTTTGTTCGTTTGTTTGTTTGTTTGTTTCACGACTCTCACGAGTCGAAAATCACGACTCTCGCAGTCTCGCGACAACATATCGTCAGACTGCTGCTGCTGCCGCCAGACCGCATTCGCGTCGCGCTATAATGGACCAATAGAATTTAGTCCGTCTGCGTGGCTCGCCGCTCGCGCATCTTCAACGGATTTTGTTGATTTGTTCGCTTCGCTCGCTCTGCCTGCCTTCGTTTGTAGCTTCGTGTCTGGTATTTGCTCTCATCGTGCTTTTATTAGCATTTATACAAGTGTCTCTGTTTTACGCACGCGAAATAAACTAATTTAGAAACTGTGGAACTTTCGTTCTTTTGGTGTAACTGTGTAAGTTGGAAGTTCTCCTGAAGTGTTGGTGAATGTGATGTGATGCCGGTTCGCTAACCAAGATGGCGGAAAGTGACACTGAAGAGAAATTGAAGAAGCTAGAAGATAAACTGAAATTGAAAGAAGGCACTATGAAGGATGAAGTTGTAAGTATATTTACCTACTGTCATTAAAAGCTGAACCTATCAAAAACTGGTGTAGTAGTAATAATTTAATTATTTTATTTTTTATTTTGTATTACAGAAACCATTTAAGTATTCAATAACAATAAAAAGGTGGAAAAATTTAATTGTAAGTGTAAAAATCAAAATAGCCGACGAGAAGCACAATGACATTTTTCCACGATTTTCTTAGAACTTCAGCCATTACCTTCCTAATCTTGAGTTCTATATTTTTAAAAGTATTTACTGACTGTATTTAGAAAAGCTAAGTCCTCACTTTGGAGTTTAAATGGAGAGAAAAATTTTTGGCGCCAGTCTGGCCCACTCGGTCTTTCAGGACCTGATCTGATTTTCAATACCTTGGTTACGCTTCTCCAGGCTCAGTCTGTATGGTAGTAAAAGAGGTTGAAAAGAAAAATGTTTGGATGGATAAAGTAGTACCCAAAGCTATCCACCAAAATACCCCTGATAAAAATAAAAAATATGAAAATATGACCTTTTTTCTGTTTTTCTTGAACGGTCTACCCAGATGAACTAAAATGTTCTATACTAAAACTGAACTAGGTAAAATGTTTCTGAAGAGCGATGCGCTTTTGTTCTTTTTTGACTTAGGTATTTACCTACCTATTTTGTGATTCATCACATGATGTAAACATCACGCTCTCATCATTGGTAGAATTTCTAAGGCTTATTTATCAGTTCCTAAAGAGATACTTAGTTTAATCTCGTTAATTTTATGATGGTTTTTCGACATTATGTGTCTAACTTCTTTGAAAATTTTTTTGTATTCGCCATTAGTTTTGTTTTCCTCTTGGGTAAAAAAACTACTCAGGTAGCTAAGGTAGAACTTTGAAAGTGCTCTTTTTTAGATGATTTTTATAGATCTGCTTAAAGCTATACTGACCTTATAATGTGTTTTTAAAGCTATAGATGTGTTTTAAAATAAGTCCTGTAAAAATCATTTACTTAAAAAAGAGCACTTTCAAACTTCTGCTCTTCCTATATTTACACTCAAGTTGTTCTAATAAATATCCATTTTTGGGAATTCAAAAACGCACTTTAAACTATTATTTAATAACACTCCTTGCTATCCTGGCAATGAATGCAGTTAATATTTGAAATTAATACGGTGATTAGTGCTCGGGAGGGAAGGCGCAAAGTAGTTTGCAAGTAAGTGCATAATGCAATGCCATTAGTTTGTGATTTACATATCATGGCTGAATTAAGTTCAAAATAAACTTAAGTTCTATGTGATACTTGACAGTTTGCCTTTAGCTTTATTAAAGTTTGTTGTCTATTTTCTACTTTAATTTAGTCAATACTTAATGTGATTCAAACAGTGCTAAAAGTTAAATATTTTTTAAATTTTGATTACCCATTTTGGTTACCTTATAGCTCTTATACTGTACCTAACTTCTAGGAATCAGTCAAAATTTAGTTTGTTCTTGCTAAATAGCATTTATTTTTGCTGTATTATTTTTCTACCGTCATTTTTTCCTTGTGCACTTTTTAAGACTGTTTAAGTCATTTTACCTTTTTTATGGTTGACTAAAACTATTAAATTGCTTTGTAATTCTATCCCACAGTCGTACTCTCCTTATTTCTTAAACATTTTTGAAAAGGCTATGCTTCTTGACCTAAGAAAAATTCCTTTAAACTTAATTTACCTTTAAAACTTAAAATTAAAACAAATAATTAAACCAGAAAAAAATTAAAAAGGAATAAAAATTGTGAATCATTGCAAGGATACGAACATTTAAGAGTTTCTTTAAATTTTGTAGTTTACAGAGAATCCGTTTAAGTTTTCAATAGTTAGCATATTTTGGTGAATTCTCAAAATTTAAGTACTGAAAATTCGGAATTTTTAAACGAATTTTGGCAATGTCGCTAAAATTCGGAAATATTGACGAATTTTCTCAACGTCACAAATTCGAAATTTTGTGATTTTTCAGAAAATTTTGAAATTTAAAATTGCAACATTGTTGCAATAAAGTCGTAATTTTTTTTTCGATATTATCGCCGAAAATCGGCAGAAATCGACAAAATGTATGAAAATTGCAACTCGATAGAAAAAAAATTGAAACTTTATTGCATCAATGTTGCACTTTTATTTCAATAATTTCGTTACAAAATGTTACTTGGGAGGGGGGGTTGATTTTCCCGCGAAATGACCCAAATTCCCCTAATTTCGCCTCACCATTATCTCAGTAAGTTCCAGTTTTCAAGTCCCCTGGGAAAAGTTCAAAAAAACCAAATTTAAGGTGCTTCCCTGCTAAAAATGGTGAGTACAAATGAGTAGAAAATCAAAGTCATATGAATAGAATTTCAATTCATATGAATAGAATTTCAACTCATATGAATAGAATTCAACTCATATGAGCAGAATTTCTCTATTCACTTTTCGCCGACTCATATGACTAGAGATTCCAACTCGTATGACTAGAGATTTCAACTCACATGAGTTCAGCGTTGAATCTGCTGTGTCCGATATCTCAGAAACTAGTCACCTCATCTAAAAAATTATTAGAACAAAATTGTCTTATTTTTCAAATTAACACATTATGTCGGTGTCTCCTGGTAAAAAACACCACTTCTGAAAAATGAAAAAAAAATTGAATTCATATGAGTTTAACTTTTCTACTCTTATGAGTAAAATACCTATTCTAGTGATATGAGTAGGATTTCTACTCATAGAAGTAGGAAATTCTACTCATGTGAGTCGGCGAATTCTGAATAGCCTATTCATCATTTTTAGCAGGGTTAAATTTGACCATCTAAATTTCGTTTTTTCTTTTTTTTTTAACTTTTCTTGAAATTTAGGGACTTGAAAACGTAATGTCGAACTAATTTTGAACTTACTGAGATAATATTGCGAGGCAAAGTTAGGCATGAAAGTGCACACCTAATTGTGTTGAGAGGAGAAAAACATCGAAGCACAAGTTTAATCGGTCACCAAGGGGCTCCGCCCCCTTAAGGTTTATCTACAGCTGCGTGAAGTAAGAAATTTCTCCGCGCAGGGGGCGCCACCGCTGTGTTTTAGAGTCCGTACAGCTCCACGTGAGTCCTTGAGCTTTTATAAAAGTTGAAGGAATTTCTGTTTAAATCGAAGAGTTATAAGTTCTAGCCATAACATTCTTCTTCCTATTGACCCTAAAAACAACGTGAAAAGTCATTTCTGAAGCTCTGCAATTTGATCCCAGAAAAAAGTAGGGTTAAGCATGATGACCTTGATGCAACCAATCGCGCTTGATCGCTCTCCGCAGTTGGCAGATATCTCTCTCCCACCATGAGCTGTCTCTCTCGCACTTACAGATATCCCGTAAGAGAAACTGGGATCAATTTACAGCTTTTATTATTAGACTTTCAAAGCTCGCGTTTGTTTCTAAGGATTCCAGACGTATGCTGCTAGAACTTATGAGTCTTAGAATTTAAGATACCTATTGTGATATTTAAATAATCACTGATTTCGGATTCGGATTTTAGCAGCGCGACGTGGTGGATTTTTTCGGAACTACAGCTGAAGATTAGCCTTAACGCTATCCGCGGCAAGCGAAATCGTCGGAATCGCCCGTTGACGGTTAATGAGCAAACAATTTAATTGAATGATAAAACAATGTCTCAAAGAAAAATTTCCCACCAAACAATATTCTCAATGACTCTCCTCTTTAACCGGCCAGGTTGGCCTAGCGGTCAGCGCATCTGACTCTAGACCAATAGGTCTCGTGTTCGAATCCCGGTGGTGGCGACAAATTTTCACGGAACTGACGAGTGCATCTGCAGAAACAGGTTCCACTCGGCCTTAATCCCTGAAAATTTGAAAGCCGGAGCATGGATGTGCGAAAATCCCTTTGATGTCTACTGACAATAAAAAAAAAAAAAAAATCTTTACTTACGTGAAAGTCTTGTCTATAGATGGCTGTGGATTCGTAAACTGCAATAGAAGCCAAATAAACTGAAAAAATAATAAGATTTTCTTCTTACTCTGAATTTTGATTCCTTCTTTGGAATTTGACCTTTGGACCGTCTTCCATCACCCAATCCATCCAGCATCTTAAAAATGATTTTATTAGAATACAGAGGATTTGGGGGACGTCCCCTATCCCTTTGTTCCAGTCTACCCCTTGAAACGAAGGACGAGAAGGTTCCTTCGCAAATCCGTGAATAACGCTAATGGGCCTGTTGGAAACTTTTGCTAGAGCATAAATAAGAGTTGTTTCCAAGAGATAATGCCTCAAATATCACGATGAGCGCGTCGGCAAAGTCTGAAATGCACTCATAACTTCACAATCTGCGTAAGAAATTTGCGTTTTTTTGAGCTTCCCGCTTCAAAAACGATACTGCGGCACAGGTGAACATGAAACAGGTGGGGTTAGAGGAGTCATTCCATCGACGGCAATATTCATCATGGTCGACGCTTGCGCAGTTCCGCGCGTAATTCGAGGAGAGTTCAAGGTCAATCAAGGCGGGCGAGGAAAATATGAACGTAAACACGCCGATTGTTATCTGGTCTTATCCTGTTCAGGTGTTATCTCGTCCCAACACGCGTGTTTTGGCCTTTTGGCGGATTGGCGTCGGCCACGATGAATATTGCCGATGATGGAATGAACCAAGATCCATCCATATAGGTCAGTCATTCCCGAAACCCAAATGAGAATCTTCTGCGCATGACGTCAGCATTACTGCCGCGAAAACCAGAAATGTCGGAAACAATGCTTTTCTTATGGGAGAGAACAAATTTTTCTTAATGAATCATTTAAATTTCTTACTTTTAAATTCTTTGAAGCTTTCTGAGTGTCGAAAGGAACGTTTAGAAATTAGCGTCAAGGGTTTCAATTCAGCTGAATTTGCGTTTTTATATTTTTAAATGATTTTTGAAGTCAGCGATGTAACATGCCATCTAGTGGTATAGATTCGCGTGTAAAAATGGCTGATGCAGAGTAAACTGTAAAAATGAAAGAACACAAATTCGGCAAAATCGAAACCCTGAATGCTAATGTCTAAACGTTCTTTTCGACACACAGAAAGTTTCAAAGGATTTAAAAGTAAGAAATTTAAATGATTCATTAAGAAAAATTTGCTCTCTCCCATAAGAAAAGCATTGTTTCCGACTTTTCTGGTTTTCGCGGCAGTAATGCTGACGTCACGAGCCAATGGAAAGGGGCTTACCCCGAGCGGGGAAATCTGCGCAATGACTGACCTATATGGATGGATCTTGGAATGAACGACTCCTCTAACAAAATGTTCACTTGTGCCGTAGTATCGTTTTTTAAGGTGGAAGCTCAAAAAACCGCAAATTTTTTACGCAGATTGTGAAGTTATGGAAGCACTTCAGACTTTGCCGATGCGCTCATCGTGATTTTTGAGGCATTATCTATTGGAAACAACTCTTATTTTTGCTCTAGCAAAAGTTTGCAACAGGCCCATTCCGTCGCGCAACATCTTGTGCTGCGCTGCTTAAATTTTTTTTCTGTCTTGTGGATTCCAGGAGGATCTAAAAAACGAAGTTCCGCTGCTGTTGTGGCTTCAGGGAGGGCCAGGAGCCTCATCTTTGATCGGTCTTTTTCTCGAGTTAGGGCCGCTGTCCGTTCGGAACGAGTCCGGAATTTTCAAAGTGAGGAAAAACGAATACACGTGGGGAAAAGAATTCTCTCTTTTATTCATCGATCAGCCAGTGGGCACTGGTAAGAGTTTAAACACTAGATACCTACCTATCTGCACATTGCTAATTGGTTTCTTTTCCCACCAATTTTTCTGCGTTTGTCGGCCTCCTATGGTGTAGTGGTTGTAGCGCTAGCCCTATGGTCGGGAGATATCGGGTTCGATTCCCGGCCAGATGACCCGAGTTTGATGGTCTCAAACAATGGTTGCCTGGGACTCAGAGCCGGATTTAGGGGGGGGGGGGCAATATGCCATGGTACCGGGCGGCAAATTTCGAAGGAGAGAGAAAAAATAAGGGAAAACTAAGTAGGTACCTACTGGGCAGCTCCGGGTGAGTCATCTCAATCCTCTCTGAAAATCATGGGCAACTTCGAGGCGGCAAATTTTCCGCTTAATAGGAAATTATTTCTTGACTCTCTCCGCGAAATTACACAGATTTTTATTTGTTCATGCTCTATGAACTATGAGGGGAGGGCCACCCCGTGCAGCGACTTTATTGCCTCGTATGGCTCCATTTTTAGCCTGACAGACCTTTCTTTGTCAAAACTCTATCTATTTTTGTTCGAGAAAAATTTGCAAGATGTGTACCCGAATATTTCCATTGCAATACATAATACCTTTCCGTACCGGTGACCAATTGCTCGGCGGAGCGATCTTTCTCCGCTGAGGGGCGAGTGCACAAGTATCTAAGGATACATCAGTGGCATTAGAGACTTGTGAATGTCGCGATGATGTCAATACATAGAGAAAAAAAAAGAGGTGTTTGCATCTTGAGGATTGTCTACCCCGTGACGTCGAGGTCGATACAGGTAGGGGAGACCGGGGCTATGTTGACCAGATTTTTTTAAAACTTGTGTCTGAAGAAACAGAAGAATAGAATGTCATTTCTTTAATGCTCTAATCCTTAAGCATACAGTGTAAAATTAAAATCAACTGAAAACACTGTACAAAATACTTTAATTTTGTGAGTTGCATGCGTTTTTAAAAGAAAATCCATTTTGGTCAACATAGCCCCCGCTTGGGGCTGTATTGGCCACCCCCGGGGCCAAGTTAGCCACCTGTAAGGAAGCTGTGTTAACCTTGTTCAGTTGATTGTAATTGCACTTAAAAAGCTTAGTATTATGCCCCTACACTTATCTTTCGTAATGTTTGTGAAACTCAATACCTTTGGAGCTGAAAATTTAAAAATAAAAAAATTTTTTTTAAAGAACAGTATCAAATTTAATAAGTGAGTTGGCGTGAAAAGCAACTTAAAAAATAATGAGAAGATCTACTTCCCCACTATATAGGACCGTTTTAAACTCAAAGAAAATGGATTTGAAACCTTACGCAAAAAAAATATAAAATGTATGTTTTCTTAGTAGGTCAACATAGCCCCAGAAACATGGTCCACATAGCCCCGATTGAGGTCACCTCAAATCAAAGTCATCCAACTGAGAAACAAGGAGTCAAAAGCCATAAATCCATACACTAAAATCAAAGGAAAGGGGTCTACTTCAAATAGAAACAAAGATTAATAATATACAAAATAAATATTCGCCACAGCAAACAAAATCCAAAATTAAAAAAATCGCATTTTCGGGCTATTTTCGAAGGTAAACAAGAATGTTACAGCACAGAACATAACAGAGGGGGACACCATCGATGTTGATATTTTGAATTGTTAGTCTACATCGCTGCCAACCTTTTTTCTCATCAAAACATCAAATTTACGTTTTCCTCTACAAAATTCTCACGATGGTTATCATAGCCCCGTAGCCAACATAACCCCGGTCTCCCCTACTCCAGAAAAATCCGGAATTCGAAGTATGAAAAATTGATCATTATGTCCGATTTTTTTGCTTAAATTAACTCAATAAATTCAAACACAATATATAGAATTACTTTTTTCCATAAACTACACCATTTTCGAGAAAATCTATGATAAAAATCGTCGCACCGACCTCCGTCATCAAAAAAGTCCAAGATGCCCGAAATTCAACCACCTCCTTTTTTTCTCCATGATGTCAATGGAATGCGACATATCACTATGCAACTGGATTTCGAGGACGTAATAGAAAAGTTCGCGCATGCCAAAGAGAGAAAGAAAAATTTCCAGAGCTTTCAATGCCTCGGTGAAACTCTATGCCCCTCAAATTCTCTCTCTTCTCAACCAAATCAATCCGTAAGTTTTTCGAAAACTTGAGTAGGTAGGTAGGTACATCGATGACCAAAGTGCGAAACCAAAAATCTCCATTTGCGACGTTCCAGACTTCCTGTGATACTTTATTCATTCTATGAAAAAGTAGTCAACGTAATTTCTTGAAATTTTTTCCTTGTAAGCAGAATATTCTGTATGATTATGAATCTCAAGCTATAAAGTTTGCTTGTTTCTCTTTGGAAAAATAAAATAGAAGCGGAAATTCTAAAACATCGCGACGGAAATACGAGATTTTGCACTTTAGCATCAAAATTTAATTAAATCTTTTACTATGTTCAATGTTCGCCTTTTTCGTTCCTCACATCCTTAGTCCTTGAAGAATCATTTCCTCCTCCTAAATTATTCGTTTGCAACACTTTCCTGCATATACTTAGATGCGCATTTTTCTGACTATCGGAGAATCAGATTTCTCTTCTGTCGTGTTTTCAAAACTTATATTTCGTGCGCGTCGCGTGTTTCTATAAGACATTACACAGTCCGGGAGGGGGGGGGGGCAAAATTTTTCGGGCACCGGGCGGCAAAAACTTATATCCGGCTCTCCTGGGACTGGACGGAGAGGGGGCGGGACTAAAGCGCAGGATTAGCCCTTGTGGGCTATTTGAAAGTAGAAAAAGAAAAGGAAGATGTCGGTTGTCTACAAAACGCACCAAATGGTAGTGAAATTTTTGGATGCGCTGTTTCTCATTAGAATGCAAACTGTGATGTAAATGCCGCTTCCCTTTGATACTTTCGCACAATTGAGGCATACGCTGGAATAACCAATTATACGCGTAGGTACAGGTGGTTTATCCGGAGATCAGTCCGTTCGAACTATTGTATTCTTGGGTATCACTGGTAGTGATATCAAGTTGATCCCTTGATTACTCAGCTCAAGAATCCAATTTTAGTGAAGTGAGGTCAGACAGGTTGGTGGGTCTATGGAATAATCACCTATACGCGTATCGGTGGGTCTTCCTTCATCAACGCGATAACGCGCTGCATGAGTGTCTCAGGACTGTGACTGCACCAGGTGCAGAGACAAGAGACCCTCCACTAGTATCTTGGCCATGGTGGAAGCTTTTACTTTCGGGACTTCAGCATTCTACTGTTGACTTACCTACATGGTTGATGTTCAACAACGTGTTGGCAGTTTCGTTTTGCAAACAAGCCGAAAATGGCCGACGTTTGGGAAAGTTGTTTGGCTCATAACGTCATCCGAAGCTCATCATCGACCATGTAGGTAAGTCAACAGCCGAAACTAGGGTGATGACTGTTGCTCCCTAATAATTGTCCATGAGGAATTGTTGAAACCCCGAAAGTAAAAGTTTCCACCTGTCGCTAGGAGGCCAGTGGAGGGTCTCTTGTCTCTGACCAGGTGCTTTTGGCGATGGTTTTCCAAACTGATATTTCCAAGTTTCTAGAGGATCGATTTTTAAGTTCCTTCCTATTTTTCTTAATTTTGTCTTTGATTACAATTTGTCTTAGTTGTTACCGTTATTCGCGGCCAAAACTGAAAGTATTTCTTTGTTTTTCATTTTATTACATCGATGGAACAGGGGGTCCCTTTGTGCACCCATGGAAGTCTGGGGATCTTCAGTCCCATCCCTCCGCCCCCGCGCGTCCCGTAGCTTTAAGGTTCGGTTGGCGTACTTCCGGCTTCTCGGTTATTTTTATATTTTATTTATTTTACAATCTATTTTATTTATTGATTGATTTATTTTCATATATTTCTAAGGTGCGTTATAGCCAAAAGATGCTTTGAAGCCGAATAAATTTGAAATTTCCGTATCCTTCCCTTCCAGTCCATTCCGGCACCTCTCCGCTAATCCGCCACAGGTACCCGAGGCTCGGACTCCGACGCTCACGAGGCTTTGCTCATCGTCACCGGCCCGGGTGGTCTTATCCCCACTCAGAAAAAACTACCCAGGCCGGTGACGATAAGCGAAGCTTCTTGTTGATGTCTAAATCAAATGTCCAACTACTTTGAAAAAAGGCTCACGGAGCGAACCGAATGTCATTCGCGTAGCGAGTGACTGGCGTCCAGGGGGCGCAGCCCCTTGGCTAGCCGCGACGCGGGTGCGCAAAGCGTGCCCAGAACAACTAGTGTAGTATAGAGACATTGATGTATCCTGATGGAATATGATAGGTATCAAGACTATGTGAGTATTTATCCGTTACCTACCGACAGATATGGAAAATTTCATGAAATCTATTCGAGTGAAATTTTACGCGTGAAATTTCATAAAATTACGTGAAATTTCATGATATTTCATAAAATTTCACGAAATTTCATGAAATTTATTGAAACTTTTGGGGATACCTTTAGGAGGCTAAGAAATGCCTAGAAACAGTGATTCTAAATTTTGAAATTTTTCACCCAAAGTCTAAAAAATTCACGCGTTGCAAATTTTTTCGTTTAGTTTAGAGGTTAGGTTGGGGTTCTTCTCTCTAAACTCCCCTTTTTGCCCCCTCTTTGTGTCTGGCACCATCAGTAGAGTAGCATGATACCGCAGCATCAACTGAAAGACCATCTGAAACGCTTTCAGACCTCCAAATGTTTAATCAATAATTCTAAAAAAAATTGATAAATGTTAACTTTTGTGAAAGGAGGGGTATCGATAAGGGCCTTTTTTGCCCCCCCCCCCTAGAATCTGGAAATTTATGCGGGGTTTCCAAGTTGACTCAATATATTTTACGGAAATAATCATGATTTAGTCCATAGGCCACTGGATACGTGTTAAACGGTTGCCTGAACATAGGTCTGCAGGCGTATTTTAGCGAAAATTCGTGTTTTTCTATCACTCCGAGGCTTTTTTGACACCGAGCGCATCGTCTAACTAAAACGAGCTTTTGATATGTTATCAAGAAGGCTTTAGGACACATTTTAACCCTGGTTTGGTTTTAGTTAGATGATGCGCTCATAGTTAAAAAAAACTTTCTTCAAAATCGACGTTTAAGGGACATCCGCAAAAATCTTAGGTAACACGTCTCTCGAACCGTATCCACGCTACGTATACTATCGAGGGCAGTTATCAAGCCTTGTTAAACCCTTACAAGGAGATTTTCTTTAATTGTAGCCAAAAAAAAAACCCCTAACAACGGAATTCCCGAAGATTTTTTTGAAGAATATACGTAGCGTGGATACAGTTCGAGAGACGTGTTACCTAAGATTTTTGCGGATGTCCCTTAAACGTCGATTTTGAAGAAAGTTTTTTTTTTAACTATGAGCGCATCATCTAACTAAAACCAAACCAGGGTTAAAATGTGTCCTAAAGCCTTCTTAATAACATATCAAAAGCTCGTTTTAGATAGACGATGCGCTCGGTGTCAAAAAAGCCTCGGAGTGATAGAAAAACACGAATTTTCGCTAAAATACGCCTGCAGACCTATGTTCAGGCAACCGTTCAATACATATCCAGTGGCCTAAGGGCTAAATCATAATTATTTCCGTAAACTGCACTAAGTCAACTTGGAAAACCCCCATACATTTCCAGATTTATGTTGATGTTATGCGTTTAGTGAAAATATGCCTCCACTACTTTAAAATCCGTTATTTTCACAGCTGTTTGTATGGAAAATTGAATTTTTTTTGGACGCAATTGAAGGAAATCTCCTCGTAAGAGTCTAACAAGGCTTGATAACTGCCCTCGATAATATACGTGGCGTGTATCCACTTCGATAGACGTGTTTTCCTATGATTTTTGCGGATGTTCCTTAAAAGTCGATTTTTGAAAAAGTTTTTTTTTAACTATGAGCGCATCCTCTAACTAAAACCAAACCGGGGTTAAAATGTGTCCTAAAGCCTCCTTAACAGTGTTCCCGGGTGCTCCTTGTGCGAGATCCGTACGCGCTACCGCTCTCCGTGCTGCTATTGGCTGAGCGTCATTCTGTGACGTCACGCGTACGGATATTTTAAGATAGGGAAGCGTTTTTCCCATAAGGTTTTTGTCCGCACGCGGTCCGTGTCGGTATAGGGAATGTCCGCGCGGCACGGATAAATCCGTACGCCTGGCATCACTGCTCCTTAATAACATATTAAAAGCTCGTTTTAGTTAGACGATGCGCTCGGTGTCAAAAAAGCCGCGGAGTGATAGAAAAACACGATTTTTCGCTGAAATACGCCTGCAGACCTATGTTTGGGCAACCGTTTAACACGTATCCAGTGGCCTATGGACTAAATCATGATTATTTCCGTAAAATATATTGAGTCAACTTGGAAACCCCGTATAAATCTCCAGATTAGTGGGGGGGGGGGGCAAAAAAGGCCCTTATCGATACCCCTCCTTTATTCGAGCCTTTTGTTTTACTTAACTTTATTCCATCTCTGCCTACCGAAATGAAGCTGTCAAAATATTGTCACGGTACTGGCCATAAAGGTTAATTTCATGTGGAAATTAGGGTTATGACAAGGTCATCATGAACACTGCTGTAACCCGATTGTTGTAACTATAACTGGCTATGTCAGCAAGATAAGATAAGACATAGCCCTATCTGCGCCGCGTAACATATCGATTTTTGATTTTTGTCGTGCTGATGACATAAACAACAATCGGGCTGCAGGACACTGACAATACATATTCAGTACCTACTATTATGTCTTTCATAATATTGATGCAGTATTGCAGTGACCTTCATGGTACTGTTGGGGCATGGGTAAATGGCTTGAAGAAAAATATGAAGGTAAGTAAGTAAATTTTTTATACTTAGACGCGATTTCTGATCCGAAAACTTCTGAGATCCATATGACCTAAACTTCGGATCCCACGTACGAAATTTTTTTCTCCGTTTACAGTTTCAAAGATACATAAATATCTAATAAAAAAGAAGATCAATACTTGGAAAGAAAGTTGTGAATATAGAAGAAGAATAAGGTGTCAGTGTTGTATTAATATTATGCTGACGCGGTGCGAACCAAGGTACACTCTACTACAGGTATGGACAAATGGAATTTTAGAAAGTCGTCAAAACGCGTAGATTTGACAGCGTCGAGAGTACGACTGCGAATGGCATGTGCGGCAAATGGACGGTACGACTTCATACGTCACTCGATCGCCGATTTTCTCAGCGCTGCCACTTCGGCACCCCGTTTGTCCATACCTGTAGTAGAGTGTACCTTGGGTGCGAACCGTTTCTCCGACAATATTATAATATAATGCTGACGCGGTAGGTAAACTTTTCAGCTAAAAATCTTAACATAGGTAATACTGCATTAGTATTTGTGATATTATGTTAACATCTAACAGTATGTATCTGTATTGATATAAGATTCTGTGCTATGTGAGATATGGATCTCAACGTAGGCTTGCGATAATTTCTAAGGAGGAAAACGTAAAAATCTGGACTGGTTCTTCAGGTTTCAGTTTCACGGATAATTCAGATGGGTACGCTAAAAATTTGACAATGAGCTCTGATCAGCTGTACGATGCATTGACTCAATTCTTCGCTATTCATGGGGACTACGAGGAGAACCCGTTTTACATCACTGGTGAATCATATGCAGGTAACTACCGACTTAGAATAAACTGTATGTATAATTAATGAATGGGCCACTAAACTGTGAAGTAATTTTGACTTGTGAATAAATTATTCCAAATATAAAATTACGCCTAGAACACGACGCGCAAATTAAAAATGCGAAAAAGTAACTCACAAACCGAGAAAGACGCAGTTCCGAAAATGCAACATTTATGTTTTAAAACGCAACTTTTCTGAAAATTTTAAACGCCCCAATTTCGCGCAAAACAGAAGGATGCCATCCGGCACAAATCAGAAGCGAGCACCGCTGCAAAATGTGTCAAAATCCAAATCTAGTTGCTCAAAACCTCTTCACGTCTCCAAATTTGGTCAGATAGCCGCCAAATTCAGCATAAACATTAGTAGGAGCTTGAGGAAGGTCCACCTAAAATTTCAAAACTTAGCCATCAAAATCAAAATGGCAGCTATCTAAATATCCTGTTCAGTTCATGTAAAATTTTAACTAATTTTTATGCGCCATATGTGATCCAATCAACCCCGAAAATTAGTTAAATTGTGTTTTTCCATCCAAAATACGTCCAGGAGGATGTCCTTATCTTATGCATTCCCCTTTCAAAATGGCGAATTTCTCAAATGGCCATTCAAAGAAATGTGAACTTTGTTGTTCGTAATGTCGCAACAATCTCCAATACCTACCTACTGTGTTTGAATTCTTTGCCACCCTAAAATTTGTTCCAACCTGTACCATTGGGTAGTGAAGGAATGAAGCACGTATTAATAATTATTGCTATAAGGCAAATTGATATTATTTCTCAGTTTTCAATTAGTTTCAAATCATACAAGAAACTTGTTAAGAGAACGATGCAACTTTTCGTTTCGAGAGAACCCTGTATCCCCTCCATGACAGTATAGATAATGGGAAATAAGAAAAGAGATAACATAGAATTTGAGAAACCGGCTTGTCCAGCTTGTCCAAAAACTTTTTCCCCCCACCCACTGTGCGGCCCTGCTCCGGCCGGCTCCCCTCATGCCGCGCACCCCCCGCCTAAAACTTTCAAAGCTCGCCATTTTTAAACGGCTCAGCCGATTTAGCTCAAATTCAATACCAAACCAGTCCTAGGGGAGAAATACCACCCATAAAAATTTCAGTTCAAAATATTCATTTTCGCTCGAGTTATCAAGTGGACAAGATTTTACCTCCCCCCACTTTCGAGCCGCACCCCTCAAAATCTACATATTGCATCAAATTTCAATTTTTTTTCGCAGAATAGTAGTTCTAATGAGTCTCTACTAAATGCAAAAAAATTGGTCAAAATATCTTTCAACGTAAGAAAGATATAACTACTCAAAAATCGAAAAATCTTAAAAAGGCGGAAATACATACATACATACATACTATATTATCTTACTCTATATAAAGCTGCTGTTCCCACTCACTCTGCCCCCCCGCCCCCTAGATAAAAATTGGCCGAAGCGATTTCCTTTAAAATTGGTACACGCTTACCTATTGTAATGAGGAGTTGATTAAAATTATTCCCATTCAAATCCGCTGCCTCGGATGCCCGCAAGAGCGAAAAGTTATTTCTCCATATAGTAATACATTGAAGATACGCGGTTGTTTACGCGCATCGCGCCGAACAGGTTCAAGCCTGTTGCGTGACGTCACTGCCTTATAGACGAAATGTAAGGTTTTAGGAGGTATTTTTCGACGAATGTTTGTGGAAATCGGTACGCGGGGGTACTTTTCGACGGGAAACTCGAATTTTTTGGTTAGATTTTCAAAATTTCAAAATCCAAGATGGCGGCCGTGGCCTAAAATGCTATATCGCCTCCTGATATCGATCGATTTTTGTGAAATTCGGTATTAGGGGGTATATTTCAACGGGAAATTAGAATTTAAGGTCCGATTTTCAAAATTCAAAAATCAAAAATGGCGAACGTGGTCTAAATTGCTATCTTGGCTTCCGATCCATCGATTTTTTTTAAATTCGGTATTAGGAGGTGTATTTCGACGGGAAATTAGAATTTTAGGTCCGATTTTCAAAATTCAAAAATCAAAAATGGCGAACGTGGTCTAAATTGTTATCTCGGCTTCCGATCCATCGATTTTTGTGAAATTCGGTATTCGGAGGTGTATTTCGACGGGAAATTAGAATTTTAGGTCCGATTTTCAAAATTCAAAAATCAAAAATGGCGAACGGGGTCTAAATTGTTATCTCGGCTTCCGATCCATCGATTTTTTTTAAATTCGGTATTAGGAGGTGTATTTCGACGGGAAATTAGAATTTTAGGTCCGATTTTCAAAATTCAAAAATCAAAAATGGCGAACGTGGTCTAAATTGTTATCTCGGCTTCCGATCCATCGATTTTTGTGAAATTCGGTATTAGCAGGTGTATTTCGACGGAAAACTAGCATTTTTGGTCAGATTTTCAACATTTCTAAATCCAAGATGGCGGCCCCGCACGAAAACGCGGTCCGGACTCCTAGAACATCAATTTCTGTAAAACTTGGTGAAAAAGAAGATTAAGACATAGATGTTGTTTCCTCATCAATGTTAAAAACTGTGAGGGGCGGTGGCGGCTCGCGGAGCGAGTCGCAAGTTCAACGCGAAGCGTAGAACTGGGGTCCAGGGGCACTCCCCGGCTAGACGTGTCAGCTCGCAAAGCGAGCTAATCACGACTAGTACATACATATATACATACATACATACATACGTACACTCTTACTTACATGCATACGTATATGCATACATATATATATACACACACATATATATATATATATATATATATATATATATATATATATAATTTGAATGGCATATATTTTCGTGATCTACGACCTGTGATCGGTGCTCTTCACAAGGTCTCGGGTCTGGGTCCGACATCATGGGAGAATGCAATAGTGTATTTCCTTCGGAAAATACACTAAAAATTGGACTGTTCGAGATTTGAACCCCGCTTTCGCAGGTATAATAATGGAACAGACTATTAACTGAGCCACTGTTAAAGTTTATCGAATTCTTTGAAAAGCCTCATGATAAGGTTCACCCGATTCAGAGGACCGAACGCGCGTGGTGAGATGCTGCCTCCGTCTCCATTGACCTGTGACAGCCTGTAGAGGGAGATCGCATACCGCCGCGCCATCCCCCCCCCCCCCAATTAAGATGAAAATTTTCCAACTTCTAAAATCGCCTCTGTGTGGTCATAAGGGAAATGGTATGAGGTGGGGTTGAGAGAGAGGAGAGGAGGAGTGGGGTGACGCGGAGTTTGTTTTGAGGGGTTAAATTGCAATTAGCGGAGGTGTAAGAACGATTCGATACGGGGTTAGGCGTGGGGCTTGGATGGTGGGAGGTAAGCCCACACTGAGAAAAAATTCTCGGCTTTTTACCTAAGTCCGTTGGTAACTTTACCATCTCACTTTTTTTTACCAATTATTGGTAATGTTACCAAAGACAGATTGGTGAGCTTACCTAAAAACCGGTATTTTTACTGGTTTTTTTCAGGTAAGAATACCACTTTTATTTGTAATCAATTCCAGTAACTTCACCATTTTATCTCGGTAATTCTACCACAGTCGACAAAAAATATTGGCATTTTTACCAAGCTCCATCGGTAACTTTGCCATCTCACCATTATTGGTAATTTTACCGAGACAGAATGATAAGATTACCAATAGACCCTTATTTTACCAACCGTATTTCAAGATATGAAATAAAATACAGAGGAGAGAAAATAAAAAAAAAAGTCCGATGAAAACTCGGTGTCAGTCTACGCAATGACAAAAGTTGTGACTGAGGTTGCGAAGCGCCGATCCATCTAAGAGGCTTGAATTCGCACTCATTAGCCATTTAGTGGCCACAGCCGAGTGGCAATGTGCTGGCCTACCACCTCAGCGACTCGGGTTCGAATTCCCGCGGAGGCTCCGGGGATATTACGCTCGTCTTCGTCAAAGGACCTGACGACTGAACCTGACGGAAATCGGCTGAAGACGCGTGAGTCCACCGCGTAGGTCATATGGCTCGCGGCGAGAAACAGCGCAAACCCCATTTTCTTTGGCGATTTTATTGGCGATAAAATCGCTAGGACCATCAGTATCTGAGCGATTATACTCGATCTTATCGTGATAAAATCGCAATTTTTTCGGGCGATAAAATCGCGGAAAGATCGAGGATAATTGCTCAGATGTTGATGATCCTAGCGATTTTGTCGCCGATGAAATCGTACAAAAATCGCCATTTTTCCGTTGAAAAATGCTACTTGGGTTTGTCTCTTTTTAGGTTACCTACTTGACACAACCAGACTTAAGTTAGGTTACTTGACAACAACGCACTTCGGTGTTGCCAAGTCGCACCAATTTTGGTTTCTGACAACAGCTGTGCTCGAGGCTCCATTATCGCCGTATTACCTACCGCCAACCGAGGTACCTACTACAGTTAGTCGTTGAAGTTCAAGTGCTGCTATTTTTATGAAGTTTCTCATTTTAAGTATAGTCACACTGTCGATACATTCTTTGATATAATGGCAATGACATGATGGGTAGTGATATCCATCCATATCCAAAATAGGTAATTTAATTTGGTAAATTAATAACTGAGTGATGTAATTATGTCCAATTGTAGGAAAGTTCGTGCCAGCTCTTGCATCCAAAATACACCAAATGAACGTTGAAGGAGGACCAAAAATTAATCTACAAGGTACAAAACGGAATACCAATTGAAATTTCTTATGAATATTAAAGCATCACATAGGTTCGTAAGCATTGGCGCACGAAAGGGGGGAGGGTCCAGAGGGTCCTTTGCCCCCCTAGAATTAAAAAAGTATCATCTTGCCCTCCCCCTTGCAAAAAAATTCTGGATGGTTAGAAAAGACCTTAGTCGAGGATTATTATCTCTCTAAATGTAGAGTCTGAAATGAAAACACCTTGTTCATACACTTGCATTTTCTAAAATTTTCATAATTGAAGCCTCAAGATGCGTCAACTCTGAGTTAAAATTTTAACAAGTTTCAGGTTCTATTGAATAAAACAATTCGAAAGTATTCTTTGCTAAAAGTCAAAAAAGTAAGCGTAATTTTTCAGCAGAAATTGATGAAAAATCTGCGTCATGGGAGCCTCAAAATGCGTCCAAATAGAGTTGAAATTTCAAAATTTTTCCGGGGGAGGCCCGCTCAGTACTCCCCGGTGGTAGGGGAGCCAGGTCCTCCTAGGAGAAAGACCTGAGTAGGTATACACCTGTGTCCATAAGATGCAGCTTAAATCAATTAAAACGACATATTTCCAAACAAATACAGCATCTTACAACTTAAATCATTCCAATCTATCTAAAAACAAAATCTGTAAAACGATTTTGATTTCTGTCATCGTTTTGAGGTTCCGAAAAGCCCTTAAAATCTCAACATTTCCGTCAATTTTTGCTATTTATCTTGAGGTTCATCGAGACTTTTCATTGGTTTTCATCTTGAGAATAGGGGGCGTCCTAGACCTGCAAATATTTAACAACCTTACATGAGAAAATTGCGCCTTTATTAATTATTGCCCTTTAAAAAAATGTTACATGGGATCTCTAAAGTAGAGCATTTTTTAATGTCTTTTTGCCCCGGAGACATTGTTTTTTTACCGTGATTATAAACTTTTGATTTGGGTTTGCAGGTATTGCAGTTGGGAACGGCTTCACGGATCCGTCATCAATGCTTTACTACAGTAAATACTTATTCCAGCTGGGGCTAATTGACATAAATGCAAGGACAACAATGGAAAAAATTGAGGAATACACAAAAAGCCTTATTGAAAGTAAACAGTACATATTAGCCTTTAGTGTGAGTTCACATCTACCTATTTATATAAATAAAATTAGGGCCGGACTGACGAGGTTTGCCGGGGTGATACAGCATCTCGGGCCCTATAGGAAGAGGACAAAGTTGTAGAAAAAGCTATAGACTAAATTATAGCAAAAGGATCAGACAAAGCTATAGATTCCGTTTTAGACAAAGTTGGAGACAAACGAGGACCAATTATGATCATCAAAGTGATAGACAATGCTACAGACAAACTTNTTTTACAACACTGGCAACGATAGGTAGGCAACCCGCAACAATTAACCAGTCGCTAGTGATGTCACACCGATTCCCTCTGGTGACACCTTAAATGTCAAAGGTCAGTGTTGGCATATCCTCATTTCTATACTACTGTGATAGAGAAAATCATAGACAAAGTTATGGACCAAGTTGTAGACGAGGCCATTATTAATGATGAAGAGAAAGTTGTAGACGAAGCTATCTTTATGTCGACGGTCAATAGTCAAAAGCGGCATTTAGTAAAATGCCAAGGCAAATAGTCAAAAGACAATGAATAAGATGATTTTTCAATTAGCCTAGTCATTTTATCCAATGGCTTGATGTTTTGTCAAATGCCTAGGCGTTTTGTCATATGCCTAGGCCCTAGGCATTTCATAAAATACCTAAAACGGATGAGCAAATAGAAAAACGACTTTTCCGGTACGCAAATAGCCAACGAGGGTTATTCAAAATCGGCGATTTGCCCCCCTCATGAATTTTTCCCGGAGTTGGATATGTTTTTACCTAT